CTGAGAGCGACCCATTCTTTCACAAATGTTTGTAAAAACAGTCTGCATGCCTAGGTGCTTGAATTTATACACCTGTGGCCATGGAAGTGATTGGAACACCTGATTCCAATAATTTGGATGGGTGAGCAAATACTTTTGGCAATATAGTGTACCTTTAGTGGTATTGAGACAGGATCCCAGTTTTCATCTGTTAAATCTTTTTTTCAAAACAAATTGTTCTAATTTTAACGGCTGATTGTATCAGTTTTTCTTGAGTTCTAATTCTGATTTTATAGAAAACAGTAATTTTAACGGAAATTAAGTGAAAAATATGTAGAATTCCTAAATTATGAATGTATATTGACCTAATGTGAAATAGAATTTCAATTAAACCTAATTGAATAGAATTTTAACTTCATGCAGCTGTCTTAATATATTTGAATCCCTTGCCCTTTTTTTTTTTATTTCATGCTTTTCCGGCCTCCCATAAAAACACTCTGGCCCCCTCCTGGCCCCGTTGGAATGTTTGGTCTAGAACCACCACTGCCTACCATTTATTTCCCTCTAATATAGATGATGGCAACAGTAATACTCTCAAGTGGAATATTCAAAATATTTAGATTTTTTATATATTAACAATTACTTGCGTCAAACAAACGCCTCTGCCTCTACAAACAATTAGTGCTGATTTTACCAGATAACCAATGTCTTCAGTCTTTCTTGGCTTATCCCAAAATATTAAGTTCCATCCATTGATTCTAAAAGGTCCAAACTTTCCAAAAATTGCTTAGTAGCAAATCATTTGATGCAAAGCATATAAAAACTGGCCCCAAATCCTTTCACATGATTCCAGAGTCATGTGGGTTACAAGTTAGAGCAACATTTGGACACAGTTACAGATTTCTGGAATTATGTTGAAAACTCAGTTTATGTTAAAATCTGACAAAAGTTGTAACCTACAGGCTACTGATTGTCTAATGGAAAATATATGTTATTAAACATTTAATAAAGGTTTTAGTAGGCAGATCTAATTGATTTGTAACAGGTTTATTCACACAAAATACCCCACTCCTTCTAGGATATGTTTATTTATCATTGAACTCAGTGACAAAATATTCTTCCACATTATTATCAAAGTAAACAGTTAAAAAAAAAATCTAGAAATCTGATAAAAATGTCTATAGATTTTTGAATCACACCGCTGTATGTTGAATCACTTAGAAAATAGAAACTTTTACAATCAGGATCCATTTTTGTCCTATAAAATTGTACTTGTTGTTTAGTCTTTTTTTTTTTTTTGGCACTGAAACTTAAAAAGTAAGCTGTGTGTCTTTATCGGAAATAAACTAAATATATAAAGAAATACGAGTTTATTTTACCAATGTGAATTGATACTAATAAAAAAGCTGTTTTTTAGAATATTGCCCATTCACTGGTCAATTAGACATTTTTATAGCTTGTATTGTAGAAATACTATTAGTTACCTGTTGTTTAACAGTATTAATAAAATATCCAAATGACAACACTTCAGTAGAATGAAATGAATGAACAGTAAACAAACCTGCACAGCAGCATTAAGAAACTCCTAAACTCAATATTTTGATGACTTGTTTTATTTTATTAAATGCAAGATACCCTCCCATTATTAATAATAACTGTACCATCTTAAACATCACACATTCCTGATCCTCTCACATCAAATAAAAATGTCAGATTCATGGACATCTGATTGAACAATAAAACTCAGGCAAATGACAGACTTCATTTTCTGATTAACCTACCAATTAGTGAGACAGAATTGTGCTCTAATTATACCCTTCTTATTGCGGTAAAGTGATGGTGTAACCTTTGATTATATGTTTGTTGCAGTGAAAGCAGGAGGGATGAGGATAGTGCAGAAGCATCAGCCTACTCCTGCACCAGAGCCGCCTCAGAAAGACGACGATGAGGAGGAGTACGTCAGCGCCAGGTAACACGGCGGCGACGGACCGCTAAGCTTTTTATTTGACTTTTTGAACAACGCAGTCCCATAAACTACATATATAACACTTTTATATTTCTAATTAAGATACTAAAAAAATATTTTTAATGAAGATACTTTCGGACGAAAAAAATACAATAACTAAAAATTTGAATATTCCCCTCTCCTACTAAACATGCAGCAAGAACTTCTATTGTGCATGTGCTTGCTGTCACTTTATTTAGAGGTGTTGCCAGCCCATATTTGCACGAGGCAGCAAGTGTTGTCTAAACATGTCGCGAAAAGAACAATCACAGTTACAGTATGTAATTAAACTTTTCATACTTAACACCGAAAGGAAATGGCTTTAAATAGAAATAATGTTTTCCTAATTGTGCACAGAATCTTTGGAGATGTAAGGAATTTTCGAATAAAAAGAGAATAGGAGTTATCACATAGTTCAGCTTGTGATCAGTGTTAGAGATGATTGTCCTTGAAGTGGCATGAGATCATTTTTTCCAGATTGATCTCATATTTTCCATTAAGTATGTCCTATTAAAACATATTAGCCCAGGGCAGTTTATTTTTTCCTTTGTCATTTTGACTTTTTAAGGAAAAAGACGGAAAAAAAACTCCTTCGATATGCAAAATATCAAGAAACCAACAGAAAGCTCCACTTTACAGAACTGTAGTGAAATGTGAATAATATTTTCGTCTTATAGAGTATAGTGAATGTATAGCAGATTGTGAATATGTTCAAGCAAGGCGTAAATGCGTTAATTTGTAGGTTGGTAATCAAACACAGGGCCTGTAATTGCTACTGAGCAATTTAGCTGCTTTCTATAAGCATGGCTGTACGCATTTCGCTCCAGGACCTGTGTTTTTTTGTTTTTTTTTCCTACTCTCTTGCTTGCTAATTCAGTAAACAACATGATTGCTGCATAATTACTGCATTAACATGAGCAGCCATTCAGCAGTCACTTTTGTCTGCCGTAAACGGCCTTGGTTTGCATGTTTTACATCACAACGAATCCATTTCAGAGCGGAAAAAAAATCATTGTTCTTCTCTCTCTCGCCTCCGAGTTCTTCTTTTGTTGCCTGACAACGTTTTTTTCTTGGCTGGTCACAGTTTAAGGAGATGTGCTGCCTGCTGCCTCTGATCGCCTCAAGAACGCCTCCTTTCTAGGGGGAGAATCAATATTCATGAGGTCCCGTCAGCTATGTGCACAGCGGTACAGGTGCTGCGTTCACACCACGTTTGCAGGTTAATCGGTGGCTATAAATGGCAGGTGACGAAGGCGCATGCAGCAGAGAGCAGCGGTCAGGAACATTACTAACAATTGGGAACTTTTCTTAGGCTGTTCTTTATAGAGTAGCCTTGGTTGATCACTCCATGCATGTTCTAAATCCGCACTACTTGATTTTGAGTTTTTTTTATGAGTATTTTAATTATAAGTAAGAATACAAGGCAGCCTTGTCATTACCATTAATAATACTATTGGTTCCTATTTTCTTTTTGTACCATGATGAGCAAGCAGGGTAACGAGGGGTGCTGGTGCCACGGGTGAGAGGCGGGGTACAACCTTGACAGGTCGCCAGTCCATCACACAGCGACACAGAGACAAACAGGACAAACAACCATTCACACCTAAGGACAATTTAGAGAAACTGTGGGAGGAAGTACCCGGAGAGAACCCATGCTTGGAGAGAACATGCAAACTCCATGCAGAAAGAGACAGACCTGGGATCGAACCCAGATCTTCTTGCTGCAAGGCAGCAGTGCTGCCCACTGAGCAAGTAGGGCTGCAACTGATTATTATTTCGCAAACCGATTAATCTGTCAATTCTTTTTCCGATTAATCGATTTCTTTAAGGTTCCTTAAAGACGACTTTTTATTAAATTAAACCAGGTGTCACTAAGACTTTTCCACTTGAGGAGTTCTGCATAGAGAACATTGCCAATG